AAAGAGATGTGGTGGCATTTCACCATAAAAGTGTTTGTTTCATGCGTTCTTTGTAATTCGCAAAAGGAGTATTGCAATATTGAATATTTTAATGTTGTAGCTTTTGTTTTTATTCTTATTGTTAATAGTCTAATATTAAGATAGATTGGGCAACATACATAAAGGAGGTACTCATTCAGAATTAAATAAATAAACAAACCTAACTCTACAACTAGAAGGTAAGCACACTGAGCAGCTCAGGTAATAGTCTTCTGAAAATCATCCAACCGTTWAGGGTAATTTGAAAGCACAATTACACAGGTGAAGCTGTTGAAAAAAATAATATCGGGGAAAATAAAGCAAAAGATAATTGCCACTAGAGGTGTCTGGATGGAACGAAAATTGGGAAAAATAAGTAAAATAAAAATTTGAACTTGCCAAAGTCTCAAACCAAATAACAAAGACAACAACCTCATCCAAAGACATTACCTGTAATTCCAGTCCATCTGCTCAACACAGAGGTTTCAGTGGTAACTACTGTCAGCGGCACCATTATCTGCAGTTGTGATGTTAAACACGCATGAAACAGCTTCTGAAGTACACCATTTAACCCTCATTTTCTTAAATCAAAGGCTTTTCTTCAATGCACAACCCCAAATTGTCAGAATGACGGGAACAAAGCRTCTCTGTAATGATGCTGAGTGCACGGGGAGGGGGTGGGGGGCTTCTCAGCCCAATTCTCTGATTGCTCGTGCACTGAAGTCTCCTTTTTTTGTTCTATATTTTCAGATTGGATTATGTTTTTTCAGGGTGGTAAATTAACATGTAAATGTGGATCATAATATGAATTGCATTAATTTTACAGTCACTTTACAGCAGTTTGTCTGCGCTCTCTACCATTTGCAATCAAAGGGTCACTGAGTGGGTGGGCTGGAAAAGTTCTCTTGATGGATTTTTAGTGGTGATATCTTTAGCAAATATAAAGTTTTCCTGAAATAAATGAGTTTGTGGTTTAAATCAAGACACACGTGTTCACTTGACCTTGCTTTTCTCTTGAGGAAACATGGTTTTATCACAATGTTGTTGCCTTTAGAACGCTGGCGTTTTACAGCATAATCAAATACTGAATATTCAATAATGTCCCAGTTTTGTGCTGCATCAAACTTGAGGATGTGAGAAAGGTGGTGGTCTGTAGGAATATTTTTGTTGTTCGTTGACTATTTTTTTTGTGTGAATGTTTTTCTTGGTTCCTGTTATATAAAAAAAATCCAGATTACAACATGTAAACTACCTTAACTTTGTGATGTCATCAGACTGGGACGGCCGGGGGTGGACTGCTTCTGTCAACATGAGAGTGGAGCAGCAGTTCTTCAACTTCAATTTCTCATCAATGAGGTWAGCTTGAAACCATAATAAAGATTTAAACCCACACAATCTGTTGTTAGACTGATTTGACCAACTTTTTGTTTGTTTGTTTGTTTGCTTGTTTGTTTTAGTCCTGCCTTACAAATCAAACTTTTACAGCCCTGATTCTGAGTGCTAATAGTTCACTTCATTATTGAAGACTTTCATGTATCATACTGATGTGAAATAATAATTTTCACCTCATCTGTAAACGATCTTAATGGTTGAGCTCATTGGTTTGTATATACCAGGCATGGGCAATCCTGGTCCTTGATGGCCGCAGCCCTGCATGTTTTACTTGTTTCTCTGCTCCAACAAATCTGATATGAATGAATAAATAATTATCAGGATTCTGCAGTATGGAGGACCAAACTGACATAATTTAAAATCAAAGCAGAATTATATGAACCACTAAATAAATACACTTAAAATGCACCAATTAAATTTAAAAAAAGAACTTTATCTCCTGTTTTGTATTTTAATTGACTTTCATTTGTGTGTCTTAAATGTTTATACTAAAATACTTTTATATTTTTTCCATTAAGTCTTTATTTCTATGTGTTGCATGCTTGTGCCGCCTCAATTTAGCCTAAAGTTTAGTTTGAAACAAAGGTACGGAGGAGAAAATTACCTGTGCATTTATTTTTAACCAAACTTTAAGCTAAACTGCGGCAGCACAAGCGTGCAAAACATAGAAATAAAAAGACTTGTTGGACAAAATTGTAAAAATAATTCAATTTAAGCATTCAAGAGACACAAATGCATGTACAAGTAAAAACTATGTAAAATATGTATTAAAAACATTACAATTTTAAATGATATGTTAAAATATATAATTTATTGGAACTCAGCTGGAAAAAGAAATATGAAGATCAAATAAATGATAAAACATGAGGTAAAGTTCTCCTTTTTAATTTATTTGGTGTATTTTAAATGTATTTATTTATTTATTTAACCATTCATTTATGTATTTCTGCTTTTATTTTTAACTATGTCAGTTTCGGTCCCCCATACTGTAGAACTTGGAAGAGGTAATTCAGTGATTGAATCAGGTGTGTTGGAGCAGGGAAAATGTAAAACATGTAGGGCTGTGGTCCTTGAGTACCATAATTGCCCACCCCTGGTATAGACCATACTTAGTTTTAAATAGCAACAAAATAATGTGACCATATAAATTAAGTGTGTACAAAAGATGATATAAAATATATAAAACTATATAATAATTCTGACTTTAAATTCAGAAGTCTTTAATATTACGACTTATTACGGCTTTAATCTTGTAATATTATGACTTTATTCTCGTAATTTTACAGCTTTAATCTCGTAATATTACAACTTTAATTCTCATAATATTTTAACTTTATCCTCGCAGTATTATGACTTTAATATCATATTATTATTATTTTAAAAATCATAATTAAAACTAAATAAATCTCATAGTGTGGCCCTAATTCTCTGTCGTAAAAAAATAACATGGTTAAGAAAACATTATTATATTTTTCAGTAAGACCACAAAAAATCTTTTTTGTTTAGAGAATGACAAAAACACTGACTTGCGGAGGTGTTTTGTGTCAAATCTGTGATTTTAGAATGTTAACTGTGGTTTAATGCATGTCCTTTGAGTTGTGTTTACACAAAACTGTAGGTGTATTAAGGGGAGAAATGGTCCTTGTTTTCAGTAAAGAGCAGAAGTCAGGTCACACTCCTAGAACATAGAGCTTTCTCTTTTCCACGTCCTCTTTTATTCCACCGTAATCCCTCACCACCACCCCTCCTCTTCTTTTTTGCTTTTGCATCTTTATCCAGTTTATTTCTTTTTAAGCCCACTGGCTCTTTCAGCCCACTTCTCCATCACTCATGGCCTACTTGTGATGTGTCTGTGGCAAATGGAGGTGGATGAGCTTGACGAGGGGTTTGTGTATTTGGATGACAGGTACTGACTTTGGATGTGGGTGTAACTATGTGTGTAAGAGTTGAAGYACTCAGATGTGTAGTAAGTTTGTGTACCTGTGTAACATTTGGTGTGTTGCTGGAAGCTTGCATGCTTCACCGCTGTTTGGGATCAAGTGGATTTGTAAAAGCTTGCATCCCTGTTTGACTGACTCCATGTGTGTTCATGGATGTGTAACAGTAATGTAGTTTAGTTTCTACAAAATTGCTCACTATAATGCTCATTTATGATTTTGCCAAATTATCTTTAGTTCCCAACTTGTTTCACATTATGAGCACAGACACATCTGCTTGTGCAGCCCCCACAACTGGGCCGCAGGTTAAGAATATCTGGTTTAAATCACATTTTCAGATATTTTCCTGGATGGTTACGTGAATTTGGGTTTACAGAAGCTAAATAAATTATTTACAACTAGACCGAAGCACATAGAAATAACAGGGGTTAACTCGTTAGCGTTAGCGATAGCATTGTTATCACAGGCTAATTACTTAAAATAGCACAACTCACTACTTACCTGGGCAGAAACAAGTCAACAGCTTTTCTGGATCCTAAACAGTTGACCCAACCTGAAATAAAACCAAAACGCTTTTTAAAAGCTTACATCTGGCTTGTCGTAGAATATGAGGTCTGCAGCACCAGATAGTTTATGTCAATTGCCTCGATGCCGGGTAAATCCCCCAGATTATTTGACAAGTCTTTTTTATGAAGACAGTATGGATCATATCTAAATGCATCTTTTTTCACATTACAGTGGGTAAAATAAG